TTAAAAGGTAACAATTAAAAGCATACCGTTTCATCTGGCACAGGTAAGACATAAAGAAATAACGAAGGTGTGGGGAGAAAGTGAAACAGTACTGCGTGTCCGTATATCAGTCCTGCTCAGCCCATGCCGGTTCACAGCAAGTTGTCATCGGGAGTGGAAAGGCAGGTGGTGTCGCAGCGGCCATTGCAGGGCGAGGACCCCCTCCAGCCCCAGGCCCACTTTGAGGGTGGCATTGTCTGACCACTGGCTCGATGGCTCTGTGAGTTCGGGTACAGATGGAGCCGGTTTCCTGTTGCTGCCAGCAGCGGGCATTCCTCCTGCAGGGTGGTCGATGCTGTAGAGGCAGTTTCCTCCTGGCACCCAGCCTGGGCAGGCTGCTTGCTTGCGCGGTTGTCTTGGGGGTAGTTGCTATGCCTGGAGTGGGGCGCCTCTTCCCTGTGTTCCCCGCTCCACTCTTGCGTCCTGGCTGCCCTTGCGGTGGTGTTGTTCTCCGCACTCCGTGGGTTCGGTTCAGTCCGTTCACAGCTGGCTGGGATTGCTTGTTTGCCATCGGTGCTTGTAGCCTTTGTCCCAGCCTGTACCAGAATCGGGCAAAAGCTGCATTGATGCGCTGTTGGATGTCGCTGTGATCCTCCATCTCAGGTAAGCGTTTTTGTTCGTGTGGTATGCTTGCCGCCGCCATTTTGGGTACGTCATGTGTTTGGCTGCCCTGGTGTTGCAATTTATTGATTGGTATGGTTTGCTTGTGGTTGCTATTCCAGTCGCTTGGTTTGGACTGAGATGTCCCCCCTTGGTCCAAAGGGGAGGTGGGGGGGGTAGGAGATGACCCTCTCGAAGGATCCTTGTCCAGGTCAGTTAGCCTGGAGAGCGGCTGTCTCCCCGCTGCCCAATCTCCGGTAGGCCTCAGGGCATTTTGTCGGGTCTCCGGGGTGTTACAGGCTTGAATTCGGTATCGGGTGATACCCCCGGGTGTTCCCTTCATGCTATTGTCTGTCCAGTGTGTGATTATGCCAGTTTTTGGGGGGATTATCCCCAAAAAGTGCAGAGTGTAGCGGGAGCTGAGGTTCAGCACAACCGCTCTGTCTGGATGCTAGGCTCAGCCCCCCCGAAAATAGACAAATCAATATTTAATATAAAGGTTGATATGAATTTAGTATTAAATAAAATGCTTAAATTGATTTATTCTCATATATTTAGCTTTATTATAATATATCATATATATTTTATATATACAGTTGTGCTCAAAAGTTTGCATACGCTTGGAGAATTGGTAATATATGTACCATTTTTTTAGAAAACATGAGTGAGCAGGCAAAACACTTTTTTAAAATTTCTTATGGGATTCATATTCAACTGTAGGTTATAACAGAATGGCACAATCATAAAACAAAACATGGCAAGAAAGAAAAATCTGAAATTACCCCTGTTCAAAAGTCTGCATACCCTTAGTTCTTTTTTTTTAAATTCATTTTTATTCTGTTTTTCATTCACATACAACAAAAGACATTAAAAGCTATAATAAAAAAACAGTTGGACAATAAGAAGTGACTTTGTATTACATAGTTACATAGTTACATAGTTACATAGCTGAAAAGAGACTTGCGTCCATCAAGTTCAGCCTACCTCACATTTGTTTTTTGCTGTTGATCCAAAAGAAGGCAAAAAAACCCAGTTTGAAGCACAATTTTGCAACAAGCTAGGAAAAAAATTCCTTCTTGACCCCAGAATGGCAGTCAGATTTATCCTTGGATCAAGCAGTTATTACCCTACATTGAAAGATTATATCCTTGAATATTCTGTTCTTGCAAGTATGCATCTAGTAGCCGTTTGAACATCTGTATGGACTCTGATAAAACCACTTCCTCAGGCAGAGAATTCCACATCCTGATTGTTCTTATAGTAAAAAAACCTTTCCTTTGCCTTAGACGAAATCTTCTTTCTTCCAGTCTAAACGCATGGCCTCATGTCCTATGTAAAGTCCGGTTTGTGAATAGATTTCCACACAATGGTTTGTATTGGCCCCGAATATATTTGTATAATGTTATCATATCCCCTCTCAGGCGACGCTTTTCTAAACTAAATAGGTTTATTAGCATCATAAAAAGAGGTATAGTAAATATCTTCTAATATTTCCTTTATATAGGAGTATTTAAGTTACTTATATATTTAGTACATCATTAGTGTTCTCCATATTATAGAAGGAGGAAAGATAAACAACAGAATTATAGGTGATTATTTTTTTCTATCCATCAATTCCAAAAACTAATAGCCCGGAGTCTAATATTAGTTGGTGTTGGAATAGCTTTTTCCATTTTTAGTTGATAAATAAGTTGAGCTTTGACCATGTACCAATTTCTTGCTATTACATACCCTTAGTTCTTAGTACTGTGTATTTCACCACTTTTGCATCAATGACAGCGTGCAGTTTTTTGTGTAGTCTTCATAAAATAAATTTTTTGTATGATCAGTCATATTTTCAAAACAAATGACCAAATTTCACAATTTCTGCCAGGGATTGCAAACTTTTGAGCACAACGGTATTTATAGTATTCTTGTAATATTATAATAAGTTAAGTATTTGTGGTTAAATATGTATACTAAAATACAAGGTTAAACAGTTGTCATTTGTTGTCTAGTTGAGGGTACAATTGACCTGGTGTCAGCACACCAGCAGCATGCTAAGACTACAGCAAAAGACTAAAACTAAAGACAAAAGAGGAAGAGTAAAGGAAAATGGGCCCAGCATCCCTCTATTAGAACAGTAAACACTCAAAGTCCATTGGGTCAAACACAAGTTGAAGGCAATGCTTTGACCCATATTTTAGAAAGAATCCTGTATGTGTTAAAACGTAACCTTCACCTTGTGTTTTGCGTAATAAACTTGGATAGTTTACTACCATTGCTACTCATAAAGTGCATGTGCGTCCAACTCTGCCCTCCCCCAATGGAAAGAAGGTTAGATGTGAGACTGCATGTGACTTGTGCACAAGAGGCATATTGAACCCTGCAAGAAAACATTGTATCTATGCCAGGCCACTCCATTGAGATACTGTGGTCTGGATTCCTTTAGTGGTCCTTTAGGAAGAGGATGACTCTTTTGAAATATAAATAACTACGTTGTTCAGGATTTGACTTTTTTCATACTATCTGTATCTTTCTTTTTTAATTATTTGTACATCTTATTTCTAGAAAAACACAGACGTTTCTCTATTGCTGTACTACGGGTGGCCAAACTGTAGTCCTTCACATTGCCGGACCTCTTGCAACGGAACAATTTTAGATTAAAACATGAGCAGGATACTTTGTTCTATCATTATTTTATTACTTTTAATATTTTTGGCTGAATAAAAAAAATGTGAAGAATTTTATTTCAGAAAATTGGCTTCAGTTTATGTTGACCCAAAGGAAGGAGGCAAAAAAAACTTTGTAACACAAACTGTGACATATGGAGAGGAGGGACCTCCATTAATCAGTAAGCTATTATTAATACAAATATTACATTATTATTATATAATTATAATTTTACATGAATTATTATTATTAATAACAACCCCTGGAGGTTGGGCTAAGGTAATATCCCCAGGACGTACTTGAAAACCAGAGTAATTTGAATGTGCCTTTCCTGGTTAAATACTTTGTAATTATTATTATTATACTTGCTATTAAAAGTGAATCCTGTACTAGCTTAAATAGTTGCATTACATTTACAGACATCTCTAAAATTTGACAGAACAGCTTCATTAGAACGTTCTTTCCACATCAATGTTGTTTTTACTATTAAGAACCCTTTTGCAAATGATAGATACGGTACTTCATTAGAGGACCTTATGTTGTTTGTACAGTTCTGCTAATGAACAAGTCAGCAAGTCAAATTGCCAGTCATCTTCTCTTCACTTTGATATTGCAAGGGTAAGTCAAATTTAGCTGTCCACAATCTTTGCCTCTCTTACAGAATATATTCACCATAATGACCAAATTGATGGTAAAGCATCCTATACTTGGTGGGTCTACAAATACAATTATATGTCTGTTATTTTTATAAACATTATACTGAACTGCTGTGTATACAGAAGGGACAAACATTGTATCCATTTGGACACAACTGGATATTCCATAAATGTTCAAATTACAATTGTTTGAATGGACATTCTAGATTTTTGGCTTTTATTCAGTAGATGCCAAATTTTTTTGCACAGAGTTTGAATATTTAGGGCTGCTCTCCAAATGCACCTGTGAATTGCCCTTAGATAATAGCTGAATTGTAATTTTGTATCCAATTTTCAGATCCTCCCTTAAATTAAATTGGTATTAATTATTTACTTTATGATATTAATTAATACAAACATTAACAGTTAATTAATGAATGAATTGATGGTATTAATAATTGGTATAAATTATTTGTGATAATTGGAATTTATTTAGATCAATTTGGAGACAGTTTGGTAAAGTAAAGAGAGAAGTAAACCTTCTTCTGTAATTTATCCTCCAAAATGCCTGTATTTCAACTAAATTAATTTATACATATATATTTATGGCAATTCTGCTTTTTGTGGCCAGTATTAAACTTCTGAAAGCTTTAAGCTTTGAAACAGTATTGCATCTTTAAATTGTGATCTGTGTCTATCAAAAATAGATATAAGTCTAAGACATATATGAAGTACTCAACTAATCAGGGCATATAAATTGTTCTGTGAATTGTTTATTCTTTTGGATATTACTCGTTTGCAGGTGAAAACATGGATTCCCAAAATAAAACAACAGTGACTGAGTTCATCATCGTGGGGTTTCCAACCTTGTACAGATATGGTCCAATCTTCTTCACTTGCCTCCTTCTTCTCTACCTTCTTACCATTTCAGGAAATGTTCTAATAGTTATGATCGTCAGACTGAATGCAAAGCTCCATACGCCTATGTATATATTTATCAGCGTTCTGTCCTTTTTAGAGCTTTGGTACACAGCCGTCACAATTCCGAAAATGCTCATTAACCTTCTTGTGCCAAGAAAAGGCATCTCCTTCAACAACTGTCTCTTGCAGACCTATTTCTTCCATGCCTTAGGAGCAAGTGAGTGTTACCTACTTACTGCCATGGCATATGATCGTTACTCAGCAATCTGCCACCCTCTGCGATACAACTCAATCATGACAAGGAAAGTGACACTACAGCTTGTTGCCATCTGTTTTGTTTGTGGCTTTTTTTGCCCCATTACAGAAGTGATCTTAATATCCAAATTACCTTTTTGTAACAGTAACGAAATTAATCACATTTTCTGCGACTTCCCACCTCTTCTAAGTTTGGCTTGTACCGACACTTCAATTAATGTGCTTGTTGACTTTGCAATCAATAGTTTTATTATTTTGTTGACCTTCCTATTTATTATGACCTCCTATACTTATATTATCATTACAATATCGAAGATAAGCACCTTTAAGGGACGCGTAAAGGCCTTCTCCACTTGTGTGTCTCATTTGAGCGTAGTACTGGTGTTTTTTACGTGTATTGTATTTATGTATGTAAGACTCACCAAGAGTTATTCTTTGTATTACGATCGTGTTTTTGCTGTTGTTTACTCTGTACTCACGCCTATATTCAACCCAATTGTTTACAGTTTAAGGAACAAAGATATCAGGGTGGCTTTGAAACGCACACTTTGTAAGAGAACATCTTACAATCATCAATGAAAACCCTTAAAATAGAACCATTGGCATTTTTATTGGTAAACGGATCTCTGTTCAGGTTTTGACAAATACATAACATAACATGTACAAGGAATAAAGAAAACAAATGCCAAAACCCATTGGTTGCCCTAACAAGCCATATTAAGACTAGGAGGAAGGGGGTACAGGAAGGGAATAGGGAGAAGGGTACAGAATACCACTGAATGAACAGTGGTCAGCATACAGATCGGGTACAACATACCTTATCAACAGGTATCTCTGAATGATAGTTGGTAACACAGAGACAGAGGTGTGTCTAGGATGCTTGGCACCCCCTCTATATTGGCACGTACCTAAATGTAATTATTTTTGTGTAATCACACTGTATAAACAAAACCTTTATTTCATGGGGCTGTGTGTATGTCGCAGTCAGGGGAGGTGTAGCTAAGGCTCCATAAACAAAGTGTTTTAAATGGCAGAGGATTGAGCAGTGAGACTGCAGGGGTGTGATCTATACACCAAACCCACTTTATTAAGACAATGTTTAGTTGATGCTTAGAGTATCCATTTAAATACACACAAGGCCTCTGTAAAAGTGATATATCCCACTGGAACTAGTATTTTGCTCACGTAAAAATGAATAAAAACAATTGATTAGTGATGTAATTCAATTGATTCTACCATTACAAAGTGACATTTTCTTACTGTATCCTCTCTTTTAACTGGTTTAAAGAAATGCCTAATAATGCAATAGACCAATGCTAGCGATGATGTAGTCAAACGATGATAGAACAACCCCCCAACTCCCACCCCATCCCAACTTCCTTAGAATATACTAGATATTTTGAGGCGATGGAGCATGACGCTCTTGACAACTTATCTAAATCCTAGAAGATTTGGGGATCCTGATATAAATTCTTCCTTAATTTCACATGACCCCTACAGCTCTGTGGACCACCAGCTCTTCTTCTTCCTACATTTTCACTCCCACATCTCTTCTTTGCCTTTTCTCCTCCTCTTTTTTTCTTTCTTTTCCTCATTATTTATTCTTCATATTTTCTTTTGTCTTTTCCTTTTTTGTTACTAATGCTTTTTTAGATATACTACGTAAAGATTAGCACTTAATTTGTATGTATTAAGATCATTGTGTGCATTGTTCCCATGCCATGATGTATTGCATATCCTGCACCGATATACTTTTTCCATTTGTGACTTTGACTGTCTTACAATAAAAAATGTACACTCTAAACAATGTATAAAAACTGCTTATGCCAGTGATCTGAATCCACTTGTATTTTAGAAAGGGTTAAAATAACTTTAGTTCATCTTGTTTATGTAAATCTCTTTGTGTACCTAGCTGTCTGGATTAATCATTCATGTGACAAAGAATACATGATAAAAAGCAATATCGTTAATATGGGGGTCCATGTTATATTTTGTATTATGTTATGTACATTGTTTTGAGAGGGAGTAAGTCCCTTATAACAATGCCAATTTGCGCTAACTGGGGGTTACTAACTGCAGCCAAGCCGTTTGAAGAACCTTGGTCCAAATGGAATATCTTAATATTAAATTAAAATCCATGAAATACAGCTGTGGCGAAACCAACCTCGCCACGAAGCATTGGAGAAGCCTGGTTGCTCGTCTGTTGCCCTTGGACTATGGCCCCATGTTAAAAAGCCTTCTTTTCCCCTGCAGAAAAGGCTTGTTAGTGCCTTTCTGCCCGGTGTTCGGTAGATTCAATCTACCGAACAAACAACCGAATGACTGGACCACCTGCATTGGGAGTGTGTCGACAATTGACCTTCCTCCTTAATTGACGAATGCTGGGTGGCCTTTGTTAGTTTGCCGAACACATGGCGGCGGCCATTTTAAAGTCCCGAACGGCCAGCAGTGTTCAGCGCCCAAACTATGGAACTGGAAACGGACACTTATTTGCGCGAACACCGCTGAGCCGTCAGCCTCCTTGCTCCTGCATTCGGTAGTTTAACCGTATGAACAGCAATACCCCAGATAGCCATCCCGTGGAGTCTATTCGTATTGAAAACAGACTTTGTGAACACTTTGACTCCACGGCGATTGGACTGTGTGCATAGGATCTGAGCGCTATTCGGTACTTTTGTGCGCTCAGATCCCAGCTGTCTGGGGATGGGTTACATGTATATATTTTATGTGTCAAATGTAACATTATGTATTTTATTGTATTTTAGTGTTTTATTGTAATCATGTGGTTAATGGAATTTCCGCCTCTGTCCTTGGAGATAATTGGATTACTTCCCAATTATTTCCAGGATAGCGGGGAGGGATTGTAATCTACTGTGGGAGTGTTTTAACCCTGTATGCCAGTGATTGGTAATTTTACCATTTGTGTCCCAGTCTTCCATCTGGTCCCCTAGGGGAGTGTCCACCAGGTGGAAGACCTGCATAAATACTGGGCAGGTAGCCCTCAATAAACCATACCACTGCTTGACCATCTGTCTCGTCTTTGGGGGGATTTACTGTATGCTGTTTGCAAGGAGTGTAAGCCGCTTGGGTGCTTTTCCTGTTCGTCTGCTAGCAGCTATTCGTGAGGTTACAGTTCAGTAGTTTGGTGTTCTGCAGTAGCTGTGCCTGTATCTCTGGAAGGGGAAGATCTTCTAAACGGCGGTTTAACCCTTTTATGCCTGGGGGTGCCATTACAACAGCAAAGTAAATGATATAAGTAATGTTTTAAAAGGGGAAGTCTAGAATTTCATAATGTATTCATTAATTAATATGTTATGAAAGACAATTTTTAAAATTAGCAAAGTTGGAAAATATTCATCAACTTGACACAGTACCCAAAGCTTTAGAACTGATATTTTGTCCTTTTCTCATATACTAGCGATCAATAAAGGCTGGGTAATATGGCAGAGTGTGCGTGCCAGTGTTTGTATGAGTCACTGTGTGTGAGTCAGTGTGGATCAATGTGTGCCAGTGTTTGTATGGACCACTGTGTGTGTGTGTGTGTCAGCATGGGTCAACGTGTGCCAGTGTGTATATTGGCCTATTTGTATGGGTCACAGTGAGTATGTATGTGTGCCTGTGTATGTCTGTGAGTATCTGGGCATTGGCGATTGCCAGTGTTTTTATGGGTGTGTTTGTGCGCCAGTCCGGCCCTGTTGCTAACTATACGTATCAGGGTTTAAGTTCGAATTGAACCAAATTAAAGTCTGAAAATGAAGGCTAAAACATCCACGCTCTATTTACAATCAAAATATTGAGTTTGAGAATTTTTCCACATAATCTATTTTTGCTGTTATTTTAATATTAAGCTGGACTTTAATGAATAAATTCCATTATATATACAATGTGATTGGGTAAATAACCTCAATATCAATACTTGAAAATATACATTTATAGCGACTGTCCACCCAAGGGTAATAGGGTAATTAGCAGGTCCTACGTCCCTTCTATGCGTTGTGAAAAATAACCCAGTAATTAAATTGTTTTTCTTATTAATTATACCAGTAGAGGTTATGGTCTCTCCTGTGGGTGCCGATACCTCTTTTAATAAGGACTCATAGAAACATGTTAGACTAGAACAATACCATCTTTTATATTCTAACATGTTTGTAAAGAGAGTCCTTAAAATATGAAGCAGTAAAATGAGGCATGAACTTATATATACACAACAGAGGTAAGTTTACCTTAACTTCCATCAATTGTTCCAAAGACATTTGTGACCAAAAATGTAGTTTAATAATTAGACAAGCACACCGAAATGGCAAAAACAGTTTTACAAAGTACAGTAAATAATGAAAGAATCTTATGTAAATATAATCACCAAATGTGCGTAAAATATAGAGGGTATATAGTAAATCGCATAGTTTAGAAAAATCAGAGCAAATCATTTATGACAGAATGAAAAAAAATTCATTTGTAGGTCAAAACATGTTATTTCTATAGTGGACACAGAAAGACCTTCTGGCTCGCCAGATGTGCAATGTACTATTTCCTGTATATTTTATACACTTTGGGTGATTATAGTTACACATGGTTCTTTCAGCATTCATAGCACTTTATGTCGTATTAAAACTTTTTGTGTCATTGTGTACAATTATAAGTATAATTTTTATGTTTACTGATGGTTTAGTTTGGCTTAGTGGTCACCTAGGTCTCTATGCACCCTCTATTCTCCTATAATTTCTATTTCTATTAATGGTGTTTTTATAGTGAGAACATATCCTGCAGGACATTACAATGATTAATTAGGGATACAAAACAACAAGTATAGACATACAAAATTGTGTTGACGGAAACAACAGGTGAAGGGAAGGGAAAAAATACATCAGAGGGACAATAGGAATGAATCATTATATTTGTGTGCTGCCTGATCATTTAAATCAGTGTTTAAAAAAAACTTAGGTTTATCAGTGTTTAAAATTCTAAAAATTGCAAAGCTGTTCAAGAAATTATTGCATTGATGTGTTTTGATTTATTAAAAGATGTAAACATTTTTGTGGCTTTTAAACCAGTTTTATTATTAATTTCAAAATACTTTACAAACATTCAAATGTGAGTTTGGGGATTAGGAGAATTGGGAGTTTACATTAACAAAACTGAGAAAGACTTTAAAAGATTTATACAATATTAAAA